TCCCTCCCTGCCTTCCTTCCTTCTTTCCCAGTAGTTAGAATGCAGTATTGCAGGCTGACTCTTCCCACTGCCACTAGTTCAATCCTAACTCAGCCTTCCGTCCTTCAGAGGTGGGTAAAATGAGGACCCAGATTGTTGGGGACAACATGCTTACAGAGGGTTGTAAAGCACTATGAAGTGGTATATAAGTCTAAGTGCTATTGCTATGTTGCAATTAGCCTGGGAAATAAGTCCTTCCCCGGTCTCATTGAGGGAACCAGAATTTATCCAGGGGGAGCAGCCGTGAAAAGTTTCCCTCCAAGATGGCAGCTTTCATTTGTGAAGACTGATTTATCATAAATAATGAATGCAGGTACTTATGGGTTTGCAAAGCATTGCCATTCCTTTTGATTAAAGTGTTGCTATACTTTGGAGGTATGGGTGTCTATGGAGATTCTTAATCACCCAGGTCATGGTTGTTCCCAAGGTGCTTTTCCAAAAGGCAACTGGATGTTCTTGGGTCCCCCCCCCCTTTGAAAATGTTTCACTTCTCAGCCAAGAAGCTTCTTCAGTTCTGACTGAATGGCTGGGGAGAATTTATATTCTTGGCAGTCATCTGGTCCTCGTTGAAGCCACTTGAAGGTTTATCTGTACCCTCATAGTCATCTGAATCAGTGCAAATGCGTGTGGTATCTTCTTGGGATTGCTCAGAGCAGGGTCTCCAACCTTGGCAATTTTAAGCCTGGCCTTTAGAGTAAAGAGGTTTGTTCTCCATCACACTTAATGGCGTGGTTATTAGTAATGAACAGTCTCTGTTTCTCATCAGCCCTCATCAGAGCTGCTGCAAGCTATTCCATGTTAGTTTCCTCAGGAAACCTCCACACTCAGTTAGTAGTTAGGCTACCTTAGTTTAGCTTCAGATAGTAATAGCAACAGCACTTCACAGTGCTTTACAGCCCTCTCTAAGCGGTTTACAGAGTCAGCCTATTTGCCCCCAACAATCTGGGCCCTCATTTGACCCACCTCGGAAGGACAGAAGGCTGAGTCAACCTTGAGGCAACCTTGAAATTCAAGCTGCCAAATTGCAGGCAGCCGGCAGTCAGCAGAAGTAGCCTGCAGTACTGCACTCTAACCTCTGCGCCACCACAGATGTGATAAGGCTCCTTTAAGCATCAACTTCTCCCATTGTAATTAGTGTGTCTGGGGCCAATCTAAGTTGTTTTTTCTTCTGCTTATTAGATCACCATTAACACGGATAACATTGATCTGGCTGGTGACATCATCCAATCAATGGCCTCCTTTTGGGCCATTGAGGACTTACAGGTTGAAGCAGACTTCCCTGTGTATTTTGATGAGGTGCACAAAGCTTTTGTTGGGGTAAGTGAGCAAATATTCTTAAACGTATCTGGGATACCAGTAGAAGAGAACATCTGTAGCTCAAGTTTGAATTGTGGGTTCCTTGGGGCTCTCTGAGCTTAGTTGTTTTCTTATAGACATTTGATGACCCAACTAGGTAACATTATCAGTGCTGGAAGGGAATGGGGTTTTTGAAGTGGAGGAGGAGGAGGGAAAGGACTGTGGGGTCCTTGGTGCTCTCTGAGCTTGGTTGTTTCCTTACAGATGTTTAATGACTCAACTAGGGTAACATCATTAGTGCCAGAAGGGAGTGGAGTGCTGAGTGCAGAGCAGAAGGCAAGAACAACAACTGTGGGGTCCTTAATACTCTCTGAAGTTGCTTGTTTCCAGATGTTTATATACTATACAAGAAGAAAACTCCACACATTCACTCATATTGATGATGTTGCCTAGTTGGGCAGTGAAACATCTGCGTGCAATTAAAAAAACCCAGAAAGCAACAAGAGCCCCATATCTGAGATATCTCATTGTGATGGATTGACATGCTTAAATAAATTGGAATGGGCAGGAGCTAAAGAAATCCATGGATTTGGTGTCCACAAGCAAGAGGTGCTCTTCAAGGGCTTTAAAATAGCGAACGACACTAACTGGTCTATCTAGAACTTTCCTAAAGCAGCACCAGACTCTTAATTATTTATCTTCCAGCCGATCAGACTATTTTGTCTTAGGAAAGATTGGCTCTTTTCATGGCATCTCAGGCCATCTCGTTGCTTTTCTGCTGATGGAATTGAATGCTCCATTTCAGACAAAACGTGCAACAGGAGAATTGAATTGTCAACAGCTTTGCTTTTAGACTGGAGATTCACTCAACCAAATTACTTGCTTTGTCTGAATCTGAATGAGCCACCTGTGAGGTTTTGGAACGCTAATGATTTTGCAAGCAGACGTCTGTGGTGACCGGTGGACTCCCAGGACCCTAAAATCTCAAGGAAGTATTCGACCAGGAAGTACTTTGAATGTCTGCCCCAAGGAAGTGGCTCCATAACACGAAGACTTCAGGGATCACAGGCAGTGCAGAGCCTCCTTTTTCTCAGAAAGCAAACATCTAATTGTCTTGTGTGGCAAACACATATTTTTGCAGTGTGCAATAGTGGCAAATATCTGTAGCTCAGGTGTAGGATGAGGGTGAAGGTTTGTTCTTTGAAGCTTGTGGGCTGGTTTCCAAACGTTTCGTTACCAGGCTAGGTAACATCTTCACAGTTTAGGGGATGTCAGTGTTGTTCTGTTTATAAGGGCTTCAGGTGTGGGTGTGTCAAGGGAGGGTCTTGTGATGGATCATCTGTGAGTCATCGGTGAGAGTCTTGTGATAAGGAGATGACATCAGGCCAGGGACATTGGGAGGTTAACTATTGGTGGATTGGGGATTGTGTGGGTTGGTCGAGGGTTGGTGCCGTCTCTGGTTGGCTGTGCGGTTGATTTGGATTTTGAGGCGTTCGTAGGCTGGTTGTGGGTCAGCGTGTCTGTGGATGGAATTGCTTGTGGAGTGCCAGGCTTCGATGAACCCATGAGTGTGGCTGCTGACCCCTCCAGCACCAGAATCAAATGAGGCGTGGGAGTCAGGGTCAGCATCGAGGCAAACTGAGAGCTCCGAGGGGGAAGAGGGAATGGAGCAGGCAGAGAGAGAGAGGCAGAGCCTGGGCCGTTTGTCAGCCCTCAGATGGAGAGTCAACAGCCCCCACGTCTGGAGGTGGATGATGAGGAAGAGGAGAACCAACTGAATCCAGTGCCTGACGTGCGAATGCACAGAAGGCAGAGGAGGGGAGAGCAGTGGAAATCTATGGGCTGGTCCTTGGGATGGAAGAGCCACTGCTGCTAGCGAAGTCCCACCCTAGCTCTGGGGATCAAAGGCAGGGGGCGGAGATGAATAGATGTGGCAGAAAACTATTCCTCTCCCTGCCAGACAAACTGGTTAACCTGCGGTGAGAGAGAAACATTTTTTCTGGGCTGTTGGCCCTCCTAATTAAAGAAATCTTTGAGTTCAGAGGGTTTCTCATGTTTGGGGAGCTGGGTCAGAATAGTGGCAGGTTGACACACCGCACCTGAAGTCCTTTTAAATGACACCAACATCCTCTTAAACTCCACTGAAGATGTTACCTAGCCTGGTAACGAAACGTTTGGAAACCAACCCACCAGCTCGGAGAACGAACTTTCCCCCTCCTATTACCCGTCTTAAGGTGTGGGTGGTTCTTCTCCACAGGTAGACAGTTCTCATACAGTTTGTCAGAAGCTCACAGCCAACATGGCTGACAGGTCCAACTCCATCCGCAGCATGCTGGTTCGAGCAGAAGATTCCCGCCTGATGGGAGACTGGTGAGTGAGTGACACCGATCGATCGAAAAATAGACTGATAGAAGAACACTGGTCGATCAGCAGGTATTGCGGGGCCCACTGGCAAAGGAAAGCTCAGGAGCGTATCGGTTGGAAACACGCAGAAGAGGCCTTCACCCCAGGGTGGATAAAAATCGATGGGCGTTTTTTTTTTTAATCAGATTTTTTAAAATTAACATTGATTTTTTTAAAATGAAATTTATTTTAATAAAATGCTTTTGGGGTAAAAATCTAAAGATAGTTTTCTATGTAAGCTACATTAGTAATTTAGTTTATTCAGCCTGAAATGGAGCTTAGTTATGTAGCATGAAGAGGCTGTATATATTCTGCAATATTGGGACTGTTCAGTGAGTCAACAGCCGGTCAGAGGAGGAGCCACTGCGAGACAGAGATGACTGTTGCTCTTTCATAATTATGATTTATTTTAATAATTATGAATCATGATTTAAAGGAGTTGATTTAAATCAAGCCTTTTTACTAGGGATTTAAATCAAGATTTAAATTGTCAAGTCGATTTAAATCAAACCCAACCTGCTTTGTCGTGTTTCAGCCTTGAGCCTGGTGAGATTTGAACTGCCAAATTGCAAGCAGCTAGCAGTCAGCAGAAGTTGCCTGCAGTACTGCACTCTAACCACTGTGCCACCGTTTGAGGAAAGCTTGTCTTACATTCATTGCATCTCAGATCCCCACAACTTAAATAGCTTTCAAGGGTTATTTGCTTTATACTCTTTAATTTCTGTTTACCCTTGCAGGAAAAACATGAAGAAACGGTATAATGAACTGTATGACCTCAACAAGGATTTATTGTCTCAGTACAAGATTCGCTGCACCAATCACTCAGAGTTTCTAAATAATCTCAAAGCCATAAATCAGGCCATCCAACGAGCAGGAAATCTCCGAGGTAGGTTCTGAGGGAGGGAACCGTAGGATTAGTTCTCGTATACATGTTGTGTCACTTGAAAAGAAGCTTGAAAAGAAAAGTGTGTGCTTGAGGTGAATTTTAACCTGGAAAGAAATGGGTGTGGATTTTGAATGGGTGGCTTGGATACTTGAGTTTCTGCAGGTGTTCAGCTGAATGCGGGGAAATCTTTAAATTAGATTTTAAAAATCTTGACATTTATATATTCGGCTGGAGGACTTAAGGGGAGCTAGGCCTGCATTTGAACTCAAGGAAAATTTTCCTTGTGATCTTGTTTTCAAATCTCTCTCTATCTCTCCCTCTATCTCTCCCTCCCTACCTACTCTCTCTCTCCCTACCTACCTACTGTATTTCTCTCTATTTCTCTCTCTATCCCTTTATCTACCTACCTACCTACCTACTCTCTCCCCCTACCTACTGTATTTCTCTATCTCTATTTCTCTCTTTCTATCCCTTTATCTACCTACCTACCTACTCTTTCCCCCTACCTACTGTATTTGTCTATCTCTATTTCTCTCTCTCCCTTTATCTACCTACCTACCTAACTACTCTCTCTCTCCCTACCTACCTATTGTATTTCTTTCTCTCCCTCTCTACCTACCTACTTTTGTTTTGCCTCTTCAAAACCATGGTGCGTTTTATACTCCGAAAAATACGGTATGTAGTTGTTTGGAGAGCTGTACTCACTTGCTTAAACATAAGAGGACGTACAAATGAAAGAGAACATTTGTAGCTCACTATGGAATCCTTGCTGCTCTCTGAGCTTGGCTGATCTCCTGTAGGCATTTCATGGCCCAGTTGTGTAACCTCTTCAGTGCCCAATCAATGCCATCGATGATGTGGCCCAATTGGGTCATAAAACATGATCAAGCAAACCACCAAGGTCAGAAAGTACCGAGGACTCTACAGATCACCATATTCCAACAGAAGAAAACTTGTAGCTCAAGGTCAAAGTGTGGAGTCCTTGGTGCTCTCTGAGCTTGGTTGTTTTCTTGCAGACGTTTCATTACCAAACTAGGTAACATCATCAGTGCGCTGCAAGAAAACCACCAAGATCAGAGGACATCAAAGATCCCGTGGGAGGAGGTGCTTCCTAGGTTATTGAATTGTAACGGGGGGAATAAAGATGCAATGGCAGTTCATATTATTTATAACCGAAGGGGGAAAAAGGGGATCAAGCCGAAAGCCATCAATAAAACCATTGCTCTGCTTTTGGAAACAGTTACATGAACATGCAATTGGTAATATTCCAAAAAATAGTATTTTGGAAAGCATGAGCTTTTCTTCTAAGGCACACAACCCTCTAGGACAGCGGTTCTCAACCTGTGGGTTGTCAAACAACCCTTTCACAGGGGTCGCCTAAGACCATCGGGAAACACATATTTTTGAAAAAATACGGAAAACAAAATAATTTTATGGTTGGGGATCACCACAACATGAGGAACTATATTAAAGGGTCGTGACATTAGGAAGGTTGAGACTCACAAACTGTCACTGGTAGGAAATGGGCTTTTTAAAAAGTGACCCTTGACAAGAGGCAGTTGGGGAATTATATTATCAAGAAAGGCCTTAATTAGCATTCATATTACATGCTATTAACCGCAATCTAATCTGTTTTTTTTGTCAACCGTAGCTATTTGTGTGGGCTTCAACTCTCGGAATCCCCCAGCACGGCTGGCTGGAGGATTCCAAGAGTTGAAGCCCACACACCTTAAAGTTACCAAGGTTGTAACCAATGTAACCAAGGCCTTTAACCATACTATCAAGGCTGGTTAGGAGAGTCTGGAAGTTGAAATCCACACATCTTAAATTTGAGAAACCCTGATCTAGATTACTTTGGCCCCCGATTTGCAGCTCAGCAGAACTCAAGCCTTCCTTCTCTGTGCAGGAAATAAAAAAGCAGGGCTCCCAAAGTGGCAAATAGTTTTGATCCATCCTTTCTCCAAAATTATTGAAACGGGAGGTCTCTCTATACCGAAAGAATCTTGTTTACTTTTATGTGCTTTGTTAGAACATTTAACGAAATGCAGAGACATATGGAGAAGGTGCTGGGTTCCCCCCCCCCTTACTTTAATCCTATCTGGAAAAAGGGTGGCCGTTTTTCCTTCCTCGAGGTTTCATTTTGTATAAATTCCAGCCTCATCCCCAATTTGATTCCCTCTCGCAGTTTCCAGAGAGCCCTCGAGTCTCCTCTTTAAGACCGCTGGGCTAGGAGATGCTGGCACATGACTGCTAGCGTGCCTTTCCTACAAATTTAAAAAAATGGGCCATGGACGGCCCTTTTGCCTCCTGAGGGAATTCAAAATAACGTAAACAGTGAGCAACAATAATAGCTGTGTCCTACACTGTCCCCTTCTCAGACCTCAGCCGATTTGGGTTGGGGATGGGAGGGAGAAAAACACTTCCCCTCCTGGACTGTAAAAGAGTTCATTTGCATTCTTGGAAAAGAACAGACTCTGCTAACTCTTCGGTTGTTTTCTTTCTTTCTCCAGTTGGCAAACACAAAATGCAAGTGATTGCCGCCTGCCGGGAGGCTATTAAGAACAACAGCGTTAATATGCTCATCAAAATCATGCGCCTGGGGACATCGTGCTCTTGATCCGGGTTGAAGACTGGAGGCCAAAACTAGCCAAGGAAGACGAGCCGAAAGATCTGGCGGCAGATAGACGGTAGATGATGCTGTCAGATTAGTGCCCAGTGAAAGTGCAGGATGAAGACTTTCCTAGGCCTGAAGGTCCGGCTGTCTGCGCTGGGGGAAGAGGAGGCCAGGAATGTTGGTGCTTTATAAACATCATGCTAGCGGAGACATGGCCAAGCTTTTTGTGGATGTTACAGACCAAACCAGAGAATTTCAGAAGCCAAAAGAAACCCCCAAACCCACCCCAAACGCCCTGGAGGCTGTTGATTAAAATAGCAACGTTTGATTCTTCAATAAAATTGACAGACCTCAGTCTATCGGTATGATTTAGTTCATTTAGGTGTGGCCAATCTTGGCAACTTGTAAAACCTGTTGGACTTCAATTCTGGGAGAATTCCCACAATTGAAGTCCCCAGATCCCAGAATTCTCCAGCCACCCATGCTGGCTGGGGAATTCTGGGAGTTGAAGTCCACAAGTCTTAAAATAGCCAAGGTTGGACACCCGTGAGCCAGACAAGGAGGAAAAACTCTACTCTTAACTTTGATGAAGCAAGAAAAGAAAAGCTTAAAGTAACACCAAACCTTTTTTTATTAATATAAATTAATATGAGGTCTTGATTAAGGATAAAGTTTGAAAAGGGTCACTGCCTTTTAAGCTGGGTGCAACTATTGAGTTAGGATTCTCCCTTTGGTGCAACTGACAGTAACCCGCTTACACATTTCAAAGGCTGGCTTGATTTATGGTTTAACAAGCTCCCTGGAGCCAACCAGTAGAAGCTTACTCAACAAACTGTAACAATCTTCCACAATTATTAACCCAAGCTGCAAAATATCACATAATTAGACCAATAGAGAACACCCTTCTTTGGTTGTCTGTGAGAAATAATGAGTTTCGGAAAACACAGCGAATCTTGGCTTCTTCCAAGCTACTGTGTTTTTCTGAGGCTACTTAAAGATAAAGGTTTCCCTTGCACATACGTGCTAGTCGCTCCCGACTCTAGGGGGTGGTGCTCATCTCCGTTTCAAAGCCAAAGAGCCAGCATTGTCCAAAGACCTCTCCATGATCATGTGGCCAGCATGATTAAACGCCGAAGGCTCACGGAACACTGTTACCTTCCCACCAAAGATGGTCCCTATTTTTCTACTTGCACTTTTATATGCTTTCGAACTGCTAGGTTGGTAGAAGCTGGGACAAGTAACGGGCGCTCACTCCGTTACGCGGTGCTAGGGATTCGAACCGCTGACCTTTCTGATCGACAAGCTCAGCATCTTAGCCACTGAGCCATCGTGTCCCTTTGCAACTGCTTAGGATGAGCCATAACCAGAGTCCTGCCCTCAGTCCAAATGACGTGGTATTCGCATTGCTAACAAAGTGGAAGCTTCCGGGGGGGGGGGGGGGGGGNTACAGCAGTTCAGAGCATGATTAAATTTCCCAAAAGGCCCAAGACAAGGAGTGGTGTTTTGCAGGAGCATCAGAATAAAGCAGTGTGTGCAACAGGATCTTTTTTGGTAAGGAAAAAAAACAACCCTGTCCTTTTGAGCAATGAACTCGGAGAAATGACTCGCCGTCACTGGCTGGCACCAACTCTCATTCATAGTAAACAAAGGAGAAATCCCAGAATTCTTTCGGATCCGGTGCCTGCTCCAAACTACGCTGATTAATGTACTTCACGAATTTCAGTGTCTCTCGATCTCTGTAAATTAAAGCCAAGCAATTGGCCTCTGGATTCACCGTCAGCAGCTTGGAGAGAGAATAAAACAAGGGCAGTTAAGTAAAACAACCTGTGTTTACTACTTTCTAAGGAGCGTGCAGGAAAACCTTACTTTCATGGCTGCATCTGTGCAGTCCTGCCCATATGAGGGGTTTCAAAAAAACGAGAAACATTTAGGCTGCATGCATAGAAGAACAGAAACTATAATTTCCCATAAAAATAAACATTACTTCACCGCAGCATGGAAAATAGGATTGTCAGTGGCTACTCATTAAGAGTAGATGAGATGCTACATTCATTAGGCTCATGTTCAAATTCACAGAGGCATCTTGAGCGGCTACTGTGGGAACAAAATGTCCCTCTATTCAGGCAGCTCCGGTCCTTTTGAAACGGCACAAAAAAGGCAAATTCTTGGCTTGAAACAATGATGGAAAGTAGAAACTTGGCAGTAACATAACACCATTAGCAATGCTCTTATGACGGAGTATTTTGTTCAGTTTTGTCAATGCACCTTAGAAAAAGATACCACGGGATTTAACAAAAAAGGGGGAGGAAACCAAAGTGATTACTGGATTGAATCAGATGCCCTGCAGGGTGAAACAAACAATTGTGGTATATGATGGGTAGAGCAAGAGAGGAAATGATATAAATAAGAACAAGCATACAGGTAAAAGTCTGTAGAGATTCTCCATCATCCAGGTCATGGTTGCCCCAAAGGTGCTTTTTCAAGAGGCAACGGGACTTTCTTGTTTTTTCTTAGAAGATGTTTCGCTTCTCATCCAAGAAGCTTCTTCAGCTCTGACTGGATAGTGGGGAATGGAAGGGTTTATATTCCTTGCAGACAGCTGGTCATTTGCATCCTTTTGCAAGTCCAGTTGCCTCCTGAAAAAAGCACCTTTGGGACAACCATGACTTGGAGGAGTGAGACTCTCTACAGACTTTTAGCCATACAATTTGGGACGAACACCATTGGAATGGTGTGGGAATAGGAATGGATTTCCAGAGGAAAAAATTGCAGACTACAGGGACCATTTGTACCACTCAGGTGACCCTGAGGACACAGATAAACCCCCAAGTGGCCTCAACGACCCTCTAAAAGGATGCAAATGACCAGCTGTCTGCCAGGAATATACATCCATCCTCTCCCCACCATCCAGTCAGAGCTGAAGAAGATTCTTGGCTGAGAAGCAAAACATCTTCAAAGAAAAAACAAGGAAGTCCAGTTGCCTTCTGAAAAAGCACCATTGGGACATGTCTACAGGTAGTCCTCAACTTACAACCATTTGTTGACTGACCGGCATTCAAAAAATTGCACAATTGCAACTGTTGCAGCATTCCCCCAGTCATAGGATCAAGATTTGTACACTTGCACTTGTGCAATTTCCCCAGCTGCCATCCCACAAAGTCAAGGGGAAGCAGACTTACAATGAATGCGTGAATCACTTAACTTCAATGATTCGCTTAACAACTGAGAGAAAAAAAAAGAATAATGATTGGGCACAGCTCACTTAACACCACCTTGCTTAGCAAGAGAAATTCTGTTCCTATTTGTGGTTGAAAGTTGGGGACTACCTGTAGAACAGGGGTGTCAAACTCAAGGCCCACAGGCTGGATCAGGCCTGCGGGGTGCTTAGATCTGCCCCGCAAGGCTGCCCTGGAAACAAAGGA